AGCCGAAGCAGAGTTTCGTGGCATTTAAGGCTGCTCCAGTAAAAACTGATAAAGAACTCAACACAACCACATAAGCATTCGTTATCGTATTTTTTTGGTGACTGGGTAAGCATGAAGTTGATTTCAGATCATGCGTCGGCCACAATTCCGATGAGGTGTATCGCTGAAAGATTCATATCGCGGGGCTGGCGGGATTTCGGGCTAGGCCATGAAAAAAAGTTCAGTCCGCATGCGGACACGTTAACGGAGATCAAGATAACAGTGTACAAAAACCCCACTATCAGTAGTACGAACGTGAGATTTTTCTCTAGCTAGAACCTTGTTGTCGTATGCCTGAGTAACATGCAAGAAGCCGTGGTGACAACAACAGAGTCGCAAACAAACCTGAAGGAAGATGAACTAACTATGCGGCCACTACGCTGGGGTTTGCTCGTGGGATTTGGTCCCAGAGACTGTTGTGAGAAACTACTCTATCAGGACCACATTGATGTGCCTTTTACCGACAAACATGGTTCGGCGAAAATCATGCAAGGAATTGGAGCCACAGGAATGAAACAGAATGAATGGCTTTTGAAGGCGATACGGACAGATCACTTTGGGAGAAGTAATTTCCTACATCTGCGGTAAAGTCACATTGATTTCTTAGGCCCCTTCTGTACCTAACTGCTGTGATCCACTGGAAACACGGCGACAGAAACACCATCCGGCTGGCCAGGTGCGGACAGAAATGACTGGAACGCCATGAATGGATTCAAACCATGTACCTTCCGGACAGGAGACAGCAAAGTAGTCTCTGCACTATCTGGGGCTTCAGCAGACATCGTACTTACTCACGAGAACAGAACAGACTTTTCAACAAATTATCCCACGACATACTAACCTCTAGATCTCACGTGGAATGATATCACCCGATTATCACAGTACACAACCAATACATCAGATGGACCATTACAAACGTACGTAGCTTATCGGGTACTTATAACTTACGAATGAGAGCCTTGAATAGGTAAAATAGCGGAAAAGTAAAGAACCGAGAGTCTAAGAATCACTGGTTTGGACAACTTTACTGACAGCTTAACGAAAGACATGATGCGGCTAAACTTGAGTACAATCGAGTGGTCTACCATGCATCTGAAATAGGACTACCACTCAAAAGAGTAGACTAATTCGATGAGGTCATAATAGGGCGGTTCCCACAATCACTAACATAATGATTAAGCACTCAAACTGGAAATCGGAGCACGGGTCAATTCAGTGACTGCATTGCCTTAGTAAACAACACTGGATTACATTGCCACCTGTAGACAGGCCTCCACTAGACGGACTGGTGTATTAGTCCTCATACTATACATGGTATGGTTACTGCAATGTTGGTTCTCACGTAGCTTAGCAATTACCATGTGGTGTAAGTGTAAGTATGTGTAAGTTCCAAAGCCTAGCTGTGTTTGCAGATGATATGTCTGGCCACCGTTCGCAGAATTACGTGTAAGCATGGCATCTATGCAACAGGCATGTGCGACAGCTTACCTCGAGTCATATGCATCTGCCGGCATACACAAGCCGCAGTCTTCAATATCTGGAAGGGGTATCCTTTTGTACGGCAATACAAGGCGAAAAAGTAGGAACGCACCTCTGATCGGGAGTAGGTTGGCTGGATGGCTTTATCTTGAAGCTGTCGCGCCGTCTTACCTAAAGGTTAATGAACGATGTTAAGAACTAAGTGGTCACCAACCGACTCGTAGGCACCACAAAGGCCTATCTCCCCCAGCGGACATTCTGAACAGTTGGGTTGCTTGGGTTTGCAGCAAACAGCTCCGAGTTCCATAATGGCCTGATTAAAGTCGCCAGGGCGGTTAGGGTCAACTAGCTGTTCGGCAAGATCCCACAAAACGGCGTTGGTTGTGTTGAGTTGGATGGGTGAGCCTATTTCCCGTAACCGGGTGAGGACGCGCATCACGTTGCCATCCAAGACGGGAACACGCTAGAGGAAATGTGGTTTGGGTGATAAAGACAAGTGTCAGCAGTAATAGAGACTTGAGGCGCTATCAACGAATCAAATGGAACATAAGACATATTTAAACGCGGATCCACTTGATTGGCTGTATTCGGATACATCCTCCAAACGCAGGGTACTGCAACGACTAAACCACACGCGACATGACAGTCATAGGTGCAATCGGACTAACCTCCCTCTCGTATTGTAAGTAGAAAAATAGTACCAATCGTGATGGCTAACCTGAAACGTTTTAAGGTGCAACCTTGCTGGCGAAACAATTTATGAACTCAAGCAGATTTGGAAGGATCCAACGTTGCACCTAATCATCTATTGTACTACTCATCCTCGTACTACATCCTCGTTTTGGAGAAAAATTCCGGTACACGTTCGACTGAATAGCAAGTACTATCCCGAACCTACAAATAGTATTCCGCCTACGGAAAAAACGATATGCACACCATACAACATGAAGTAAAGTTGAACTGTAGGAGGGCAATTGTTAACTCGGTGTTAGACCCTGGTTTATCCGGTAAAAAATTTGCCAAAAGCTTTTTCGAGTTAACTGACAGATATCTTAAAAACCTTGCGACCAGTGAAGCGCATCACTACCTCAGCTGATTTCTTTCGTTTCTTCTTGCGTGTTTTCGCAGCGGAATCTCAAAATCCACTTAAGTGACAACCACAGTTTCAACTGACGCGTTTATAGCTTGGGACTCGTTGAGAGGCACCGTGTAGGAAGTGTTGCTTCCCCCTCCCACTCCGCGCTAACTAGGCAGAGCTGAAATGTATTTGGATCATCCTTTAGTAGACTTGCAGTATCCCTTAGAGCAATTAAAGCAGTGACGGTTCTTGGAGTATGCTCCCTTCCAACTTAACATATTTGGACGGATCCTCTAAAACTTAGTTATGTGAGCTGGTGCAAATAATCCGACTCGGGTGACCCTGGGGAGAGCGGTCCACTGTAAGAGCACTTGGTGGAAGTTTGCGCACCAACGTTAACTGGCTGAAGGAGCAGGAGTACGTTGGTTTCAGATACGGCAGTTTATGTCACCGGAAAACGGGAGTGCCATGGAAGTATGACCAAGTTGGAGGCGATGCCATAATCAGCCAAGTCGTGTTGGCCCAATCTGACCTACAAAGCAGAGGGCAGAAGAGCCTTTTCGAGGAACTATGCCCAGAACCAATGACACAATATTCTGCTCCAATTGGTTACCCTAGCCCAAGGACGCCGAAGGTAAGATACAGATGTCTCACTCTTGATGTTATTGCACATAGCAGATGCCTTTGGAGTAGCATCAGGTTCCTAGCAGGTCCTAAGTGCACTTTAGGCGTAGTGGATAATTCGCGAAGCGACTGGCCGCAGTCAACCATTTTGCGATCGAACTGTGCGGTTTAAGGGCCGACCTTTTCTAACCAATCCTTCCTCGGGGGA